CGATCCCGCACCACGCGGGGCTCGAACCCAGGACCTACCGGCTTCGCGCGCCAGCACTTAACCACTAGAGGGCATCCAACGGTGTTAATGTCTAACTTCAACCAATCCACGAAGTTGCGCCATCGAACACCATTGTCTTCAGTGAGCTGATATCTGACAACAGACCTGGTTGCACTCCACTGGTGACGGCTTCTCACTAGAACTCCAGGAGGTTCTCCTGAAGTCAGTCACTAGTGAGCAGTTGATTATTAGAATGAGTTTTGTGTAGATTTTTTAGAAATTTCACAGGTTGAGATCATGAGTCAATTGAAGCTAGACCACCGTGGATGCGCACTGCTTAGGAGTCCCATACTAGGACGAAACGGCCGTGCAGTGCTTCCAGGCTTTCTATGGTGGTCTAGCTTCAACTGACTCATGATTTCAACCTGTGAAATTTCCTAAAATTCTCCACAAAACTCATTCAAATAATATTTAAGACTCACATAGAAATCTTTTATGAAAATGATACATAGAAGCTATGTATAAAACTTATTTTATAAATCTTTCTTAAGAATAATATACAGGGTAAAATGATTAAGCTAATCACAATGAAAAGAAAAATACTATAACATGTCTAAAAAATATACCTAAATGTTGTCCTTTCAAGGAGAATCTATAATTAGACAAATAAATCTATTAAATGATATGAAACCTATACCTATATTATTCTTTATATTTCGTTTGATATTGAAGTGAGTATTAGTTCAAAACTATATTCATATAGATTACCTAAAGATTATGGTTATTATTTCATATAGTTTAAATGATAATTTCCAATTAATGAATCCTGATCTAATGATATATTAATGATGCCTTATTTGTACATAATAAATTATTAATAGAACAGACTAATGTTAACCAACTCAGTCTCAACGTTGATTTGTTTTTCTTAAGATGAAAATATTTGATCATATTCAGAGATTTAGTGTTTTGATGATTTATTTTTGTGTCGGCAATTATAAAACCACTGATAAATAAATACCTCATTTAGAGAAATCAAATAGTATTAATTTATGGAGAAACGGACTTAATAAAAATGATTAGTATACAAAGCTTATCTCCACTAAAACTCCTTCTGATACTAATCAACATATACTCACTAGTAACTGGCTTCAAGATGTATATCTTGGAGTTCTAGTGAGAAGCAGTGACCAGTGGAGTTCAACCGTGTTAGTTGTGGGATAGTAATTCACTGACGACAATGGTGGATGTGTCGCTCAATTTCGTGGATTCGTTGGAGTTAGACATTAACACCGTTGGATGCCGGCCAGTACAGTGGTCTAGTAGTTAAGTGCTCGCGCGCGAGGCCGATAGGTCTTGAGTTCGGATCCCGCGAGCGAGATCATGGATGCGCACTGCTGGGGAGTCCCACACTAGGATGAAACAACCGTGCAGTACTTCCAGGTTTTCCATGGCGGTCTATCTTCAATCGACTCACTATCCCAACTATTGAAATTATCAGTGAAAATTAAAATTGGGTATTTTGGTAAGTTACTTTCATATATTTTGATAAGAATTTTTTTATATTAAACAATAATTTTGTTATTAATATGACGAACTGATGTGTAATAAACACGATCATAATATCCATATTTAGTTAAAACCTATGCTCACCTTCTAATATCTCATTACAGAAAAAATGACAAATAATTTTAAGATAAATGTTTGTTACAAATGGTATATTTTACCAAAATGTGTAGTCAACAGAGAAAAAACAATTAAGTATTACGTTTCTACTATCAAGTTTTAAAAATATAAAGATATATTGTAGTACAGTGGAAAAGCTTCAAAGTTAGGTTTCGAATGAAGTGATATGATGGTGACGACGACGTTTAGCTGACAAGATTGATCTTACCGGCATTCTATTCTTCTAACTGTAAAACCCGCAATATTTATCAGGGATCATTTAGCTTCTACCTTGCTCAGTTACGCTTTACTTGATTAAATAGTTGATCGATAGTCTGTGTCAGATATTTATTGCCAGAACATGGTAATCAAGACGCTGATGGAATAATTGCTCCCTTGTGGAAGCTTACCTTTCGGCGAAATTCTTCTTTCTTTTTTTTAACAATAAGAAGGATATTATATTTATATGAATCTTGAGATGATACAAAAGATTTCTGGGCGAGACTATAATTTATGGACGAACCAATTAGACTTAAGATAATAAGTCTTGTATTTTAGCGAGAAATTCATCCACTCATTTTGCTAAATAATATTTCGGCATTATAACTGATATCAGTTCGTGATGAAAACTCTAAATCTAGCTCGTAAGCCTAACCATCAACAGTGAACCATAACTGTAATTCCTCACATTGCTTTAGTTATTAAGTGGACATTTTCAACATCATCTTAGCATTTCTAAATGATCGTTCATAAATTATAGACTCACTGATTTCTGTTTCAGTAGATTTCTTTTCCTGCACTTTCATAATTTGACCTCAAAGATTGAAACTCTATCAAAAATAGTATGGAATTGTTATCAATTCTTAGCTCCCATGAAGCAATGAACCGATTCGTCAAAAACTATGTGATTTTACAAAATTTTACATACTTGCTAGTTTGAACATTCAAACTAGTTTTCTTTTTAAAATGACTTTAAGAATAAAAATGTCAATTCTTGGTGACACAAATATATATATGTATACATGTTTTATAGTTCAGTCTTATTAATCAACTAAGTGGAGATGAATTCTTCTTTATTGTTTTTCTCTCTCGGTTTTTTTCTTTTTAATAGGCTAATCTTAGAACATCTACCATCCTAGATATTTCCATACAATCAATCTGTAATCGAATATTGCCAATCAAAACCTGTGATCAATTTGAAATATCAGTAACCTTATTTTATTTTATTTTAACTATGAAACATTCGTGTTTTTTTTCACAGTAGGTGATTTAAACAATAACAGAATGTTAGACAAAAAGAAACAAATTTATAACAATCTAATATCAGGTCAAATAGAAGATAAACATTTAAAAGAAATTAAATGTTCATTATTTTGTTTGAATAAAACAAAAACAACAACATGATGTATCGAAGATGATGTTGTTTCACATCGATATATATATATATATATATATATATATATATATATATATATATATATATATATATATATATTTCGATAGAACAATGAGAAGACGGAGTTGATCTGAAAAATGTGATCTATTAGCGCTATACATTTCGAACAATCTGGTGCCTAGATGGTTTCAAAATTAATGTATATCAAATGATCCGATCAATATAGGAGGTAGAAAACCAAGCTCATCGATAGGGAAACATATAATTGAGACGGAGCACAAAATTAACATTAATACAGCATTTAGAATGTTGTATAGAAATTGTCAATGTCGAATTCTTAAGTTTATTGAAGCCTTGGCTATTCGTAAATTTGAACCCCCCTTATGTGTACAAAAACAATTTGTCTTAACCTTGAATTTACCTTGATAATCCTTAAGTTATTCTATAGCCCCTTTGTTATTTTACTTGAACTTTCATTTAATTGACCTTTATTAATTTTCATATAAAAATGCCCTGACAAGTATATGTGTGACCAGATTGCTCGAAATGTATAGCGCTAATACATCACATTTTTCAGGTCAACTCCGTCTTCTCATTGTTCTATCGAAATTTATAAAAGGGACTAATTGCTTTAAATATATTTTTTCGTTTTTATCTCAATGAGTAGAAAGATTGAATTTCTGACGTTTCGTAACTTAATGTAAACCAGTTCTTCAATGTAAATAGATAACTGACATTAAATTAATACAAGTTTGAATAGTACAAAGGGAACAATATAGAATATTCTTGGTGTAATCGAAACCACAATAAGTCTGAATATGTTAAATTCAAGTTAGTTTTTATCACAGTGAATTTGTATGATCTGTCATCCTTGTATTCATTTATGTTTCAGAATGTGGATTATATTAAAAATATTATTTATTGTTTTCTTCGCACTATTTAAACTTGTGTTAATTTAATGTTGATTGTTTATTTACTTTGGAAAAGTGACTTACATTAAGTTAGAAAATATCAAAAACACACCACCATGGAAAACCTGAAAGCACTGGACGGCCGTTTCGTCCTAGTATGGAACTCCTAAGCAGTGCGCATCCACGGTGGTCTAGCTTCAATTGACTTATGATTTCAACCTGTGAAATTTCCTAAAATTCTCCACAAAACTCATTCTAATAATCAACTGCTCACTAGTGACTGACTTCAGGAGAACCCCTTGGATTTCTAGTGAAAAGCCGTCACCAGTGGAGTGCAACCAGGTCTGTTGTGAGATAAAAACTCACTGAAGACAATGGTGTTCGATGGCGCAACTTTGTGGATTGGTCGAAGTTAGACATTAACACCGTTGGAAGCCGTGTCAGTGGTCTAGTGGTTAAGTGCTGGCGCACGAAGCCAGTAGGTCCTAGGTTTGAGCCCCGCGTGATGCGGGATTGTGGATGCGCACTGCTGAGGAGTCCCATACTAGGACGATACAGCCGGACTATCTATTCCTGCCATTTAGATATTTTAACAATTTATCTGCTTTTCTTATTTGTTTTAACAAATCATTATGCCTATTAGTTACAGAACTTATTGAGATGCGTTTGTTAAAAATTTACGATATTTCACTGTACAAGTTACAAAAGAGCACAATAAGAGACATTATGGTTGCTGGCAATATATATCGAAAATAATATACATTAATCAGATATCGATTTCCGACCTGATAACATCTAACTGATGACCTCTCAATAATTATCGCAAGGGTCGATCAATAAATAAGAAAAAGAAATTTGGTGAAATACTTTATACTGAGTATTTTATGTTGTACCAAAAATATAATTTTGAGTAAAGCCACTAATAATAATAATAATAATGAGTAAAGCATATCAATATAGAATTAAACAGTGGAGTTATTTATAAAATAATTATTTTAATTAGTAAACACCAAATAAGTAGAACTTACTTTGCCGATAATACTGCCAACTTCCTAGAATTAAAAAAAAACAAACAGAACAAGTGAACAACACACCATAAATGATTTAGTTTATAAATTTCCAAACTTTTACATTGACTTATGTTAATAATTTAAACTGTAGAATATCAACTTCTAAACATCATTGGAGATGGACTATTCATCATGAATAAACAAACTCTGTTTAATATTCAATATTTCTTTTTCAATATTCACTATATTAAATTAGACCAGTGTAATTTGTAAGAATAGTTTAAGCGGTTATTAATTAATATGAGTTAGATGAGAAAGAATTTATACAGGAAAGTACTTGAAAATATATGACTTGTCAGTGACTATGTATATTATCAGAATGGGTTTTGTGGAGATTTTAGAAATTTCACAGATTGAAATCGTGAGTCAGTTGAAGCTAGACCACCATTAAAAACCTGGAAGCACTGGACGGCCGTTTCATCCTAGTATGGGACTCCTCAGCAGTGCGCATCCACGATCCCGTACATCGCGGGGCTCGAACCAAGGACCTACTGGCTTCGCGCGACAGCACTTAACCACTAGACCACTGAGCCGGCATCCAACGGTGTTATGTATATTATTCTGATAATCAATGATGTTTATCTCTAGGGTTTATAGTAGATGAATCTGTCATATTTAATTCATATCTACTTATATTCATAAAAATCATTTTAGTAAGAATGTTATAAACCTTATTGTTGTATGAATGATCAATAATGTAGGTTACTATATCAAGTTTAATTTTACATGAAGAAACGCTTTGGTATTATTATTATTAACTTTAATTGTCATGGAAATATTTGTACATTAACATAGAATTTCAAATGAGTAACAAAAATTTGCTTAAGAAAAAGTCATAACTCCTCCCAGCGGAGGAGGAAATCGAGAAGAAGCGCTGGAAGTGGATAGGACACACATTGAGGAAAGCACACGACTGCGTCACAAGACAAGCCCTCACATGGAATCCTCAAGGCCAAAGGAAAAGAGGAAGATCAAAGAACACATTACGCTGAGAAATGGAAATAGACATGAAAAAGATGAACAAGAATTGGATGGAATTAGAAAAGAAGGCAAAGGACAGAGTGGGTTGGAGAATGCTGGTCGGCGGCCTATGCTCCATTGGGAGTAACAGGCGTAAGTAAGTAATTAAGGCAATAAGTTTTGATTAGGTTAATTATAAGTAACTTATATTCAGTGCATTTCTTCTGGGTGATGTGTATGAAGGAATTATGTTGATTTGATTCTAACTAAGCATTATTGAGATTAATAAATAAATTTGATAATCGAAGTTGAAGACAGACAAAGTATTAATTTTCTGGATGCTAAAATGACGAAAAAACAATAGAACTCTATGAAAATCAATCTACGGGAAACACTTGCGGAAGGGTCAGCTATCAAGTTTTCACTGGGTTTTCAATAGCAGGTAAGAAAACTGAATTATATCCCTTGCTACATGGATACAAGGAATTTTTAGTTTCGAAGTCATAAATAACGAACTGTACCTCTTTAAGAAAATGCTTATCTGGAACGATTATCTATCAGTAAAAAGGCGTGGAAATTGGTCAATAAGAAGTTCAATGGCCGAACACCATGTCAACACACTCGTTCAATCAAAGTGGATTCTGCGTTCAAAGTCATCTTAAGGGTAAGTAGAAAACTGCTAAAATCCGTTATATTCTATCTTTTTAGCATTACCGAAACACCAGCAATACATCTGCAAAAACCAAAATTATTCATCCAAAAAAACTAATACTGTGATCCTACTCTCAATTTTATTTCTTTATACTTTTCTTCCTTCATAGCCATCTGTTTCACCATAGTCTTTTTACTCCCAACTGTTTCTTCGTTTCTATGATCCTCCTGATTATAGTTCATTTCAATTTCAATATTTTACCATGCTGAGCCTTCGCAACTATCTATCGTCATGATGAATATTCAAGTTCTGAACAACAAATAGTTTCCCTGATAAAACTAACGTTTTAATGTCTTTGTTTAGTCTACCTCAGTGTACTCTTGTTTCATAGAATTTTACCATCACTATTAATGAAATTACCATTTCAAAAAATAAATATGTAGGTGAGACTATAATTTATGAACAACCTTTGAGTGTCGCTAGAGTGAACTTGTGAGTGTCCACCTAAAATCAAGGACCTATACGAAGGTTATAAACATGTTTGAGGAATTATAACTGTGATTTACAGTTGATAGTTAAAATTAGGAATTAGATTTAAGCATTTCATCACGAACTGACATCAGCTACAATACTAAACCTCTACTTACCCAAATGGATGAGTGAATTTCGCTCCAAAATCCGAGATTTGTTATCTTACACCTGATCAATTCGTCCATAAATTTTAATCTCGCCAATATATACATTTGCGATTGCATAAGTTACAAAATGAATTCAACTAAAGGAGTACTTTTCACTAAATTCAACTTTCTTCTTTTATTTAGATTAGATACTGTTTGAATAATTCAAATTATAGATGATTGCCTTCATTAGATAACATGTCATTTATCTGTATATGTGTTGAGGATTTCATACACTTAAGAATAAAGTATCTTACACTATTATGACTGTGTTTGCTGATATCAATGAAAATTACATTGAATAATATTTACTTAGATAATAATTTCTCTGGTTGAAATCATAAGTCAATTGAAGCTAGACCACCATAGAAAACCTGGAAGCACTGGATGGCCGTTTCGTCCTAGCATGGGACTGCTTCCAGGTTTTCCATGGTGGTCTAGCTCCAATTGACTCATGATTTTAACCAGTGAAATTTCCAAAAAAAATTCTCCACAAAACCCATTCTGATATTAGATAATAATTGTTATAACTAACCTCTAATTTAAACATATTTTGATCAATAAGGAATTATATTATGGTTTATATAACGACCAAGTATATAAAAGGTCTCTTCATATTTTGAGTATTTATTGAAGTTTATACAATATGATATTACTAATATTTTAAATAGATGTTTTATAAGTAGTTTACTCATTCTTCGATATAACAGTTAAATCTTATCTACTTTTAGTAAGTCATTTATCATTCAGCTAATCCATAATCATTTTTTATTGATTTGAATATAAATTTATTATTATTTTATATTAAAAGGAATAAAGTCGATTACAATCGAATGGTTAAAAAAACTACATTTCAAACTTCAAACAAAAAAACTGAAATAAGTTTAATGATCAATCTTATATGTGGGATAAAGTGGTCGTCTTATGGTAGAAGAAGTTTGTTAGTCTTGGTTACGTAATCTTTTAAAGAATATCCTGGGACAATTATTATTTTTAGAAGGGGTTTGTGGAGATTTTATTACGTTTGACTTGTAAACTTCAAATAAACTGGATATTTGATAGTCAGTTTATAATCATAGAATAATAATACACTTGTAATATCTCAATGACTAATTAACTGGATTTCCGACCTTTCATGTAAGCAACCCATTTTTAATACATTGTTGAAGTTTTGATTAGTAAATATAAATAAATATCAGGTTTTTGTCATCATAGACATTATTCCTCGATTTTCTATAGTTGTAAGGGTGAAATTAACTTTTTCAAAATATTCTACCTTTCGTCCATCAGCTGCTTTAAATTAACTAAGTAGAATAAAAAATATCCCGCTAGTTACTCAGTAGTTAATATTCTGTAATACTAGTTGACTCGCGTTCAACCACCCAGCGTCAGAACATTAAGTTGGATTATTTTGATAAACAGCTACAATCCAACTTATCTAACAGAATAAAGACTAGGCAAACATGGTATTGTTCACTAATCCGTGATTAAACAGTACAAAAGATAATTGGAATTTAAAACTTTACCATCGAAATTCTTATTGTAAATTAACTTTTCACAAAGTATTTACATAATGACTACTCATTTTAAATAATCGTAACGAAATTTGATTCAGTTTTACATTTTCTATTATAATAGTTGGAATGAATCAGTCCTTGTTACTGTAATCTTTGGCATGGATATAATTTCAAACTTAATTTTCTTATTAAATTCATTCTAATAGTGTTTGACAAATAGTCAAAACTAAGAAACAATACGATCATTATCAATGGCCTTTGTAACTATTCATAATGTACATTTTTTTTTTCTCACCTATATGAGGAAATTGTAATATGATCTGCAAATAAGAGAATCAAATATTACTCGATTTATTCTTTCGATAACATTTTCGAGTTGAATATACAAAGGAACGTAATGACGGCTAATAAACTTCAATTTCTTAATCAATAATATGCACATACAATATTCATAGTAGAGTTATTCAGTAATACGATATGTCAAATATAATATGTCTTCCCTAAAGAGAATAGAATAGACTATTTTTAACAAGACAATATGATTCAAACATCGTGTGATTGATTAGTTTTTCCTTTATGTAAACAACCATGAAAGTTATACATTCATACTAAAAATTTAGTGATTCGGTTATACAGTGATAGGCAAAGAATTTTGTATTTATCATAGAAACAAACTTTTAGTGTTGTCAAGTTATTTTGACCATTAATAATTAGTGAAAAAAATGTAATTTTCAAAGAAAACGATGACTAATATTTTATATTAACTGCGATTACCAAAACAACAGTTGAATCATTTTTCTAATGTTTCTAACTGAAAAATAAAGTCATTCAATATCATTCTTATTTAAAGACAAGTTTACATCTGTGTATTGAACGTTGAAATGAGAGCTGTTATATACATAATTTCTAATCGTTTACAGTCTTTTTTTTGTGAGAAAACAATAAAAAAAGAAGTGTTGTGGATGTGAAGGATAGACCAATAATTATCATGTTAAGTCCAATGGTGTTCTTGGACTTTAAATGGACATTTCCTACTGGTCGATATCTGTCCACTTGTTGAATATTGTACAAAATGTTGTTTTCTATTTTTATGTTACGATGTGGTATGTTTGGTTAGTATATAAATAGAGTATATCTGAAATACAATGATTCATAACTCAGAGGCTGTGACTTGCGTTCTGGACTCAAGTGGCTGGGATAGATAGGGAAGTGGAACCAATCGGAACCCTAGGTCGTCCATTACGTTCGTACGTGTTTACGTGCCATTGAATCGATCGATAAATATGCTGTTCTCTAGTTTTTTCAGTCAAGGACACAACAATTAGCACAGGGTAAAAATCAATAACAACTTAAAGTCATAACAAGAAGCTTGACAGTTTATGATATGGTTCATTTGACATTTTATAGAGTCATATGTATAAAATGTCTCTCACGTCAATTTAAAGATTGTCCATTAGATTTTCTTAAAATTTTCTGAATAGAAATAATAATCATTCAAACATTTTCTCAGTCAATCAGTTGGTACTATAAAATGTTTTAACCAATTCAGAATAGTCAAACTAGTTTCTTCGTTACATGGAACGGAAGACAAATATGTGAATCGATGTATTAAAGATCTTTTAACAACACTACATATCTAGACAAACATACATAAATGGGCAAATATGATATCCATCATATTATCCCATGAGATTATTTCATTTACTTGTCTTTTTTCAACTAATTAGTGTATGTCAGTAGCAGAATATTTGATCGAACGATTGACTTGACACTTTATTCTGAATCATTCTATCCTATATTTACTGACTTTACTTATTTACAAATATCATGATAAATTCAAATGTTCACCATTTTCAACGTATCACAATAATTATGGACTTGTCACTATAGAGACTTATGATGATGAAGTTATCAAAAATAATTGTTCATTCAAATATTCTTCAGTTTTAGATTGAGATCATGAAACGATTGATGTTAGACCACCGTTGGAAACTTGGAAGCACTGAACGGTCGATTCGTCCTACTGTGGGACCCCTCAGAAGTGCTTATCGATGATCCCGTTCGAGGGATTCGAACCCACGGCCTTTAATCACGCGTGCAAACGCTTAACCTACTAGGCAACTGAGCCGGCATCCAATTGTGTCAGCCTCTAACATCTTCCATTATACCGAGGTAGATACCTGTCTCTACCCGACATGGATTAGCTCTACTGGTCACGGCTTCTAACTAGAACTCCACGAATTCCCTCATGAGGCTAGTCACTAGTGGGCACCATGGTAAGTAACAGTATGGGAGTTGTAGAGATTATTAAGTTTTAAATTAACATCATGAACCGATTAATGTTAGTGCTTCCAGATTTCCAATGATAGTCTAACATCAATCGGTTCATGATTTCAATCTAAAACTTGATACTCTCCACAATCCCTATACCAATTCTTCATTTTTAATGAATATATCTAAGACATTTTATATATTGCAATACTTACTTATTGTCAAGTTTAAATAATACTAATTATTAATGTCACAAATCTTTCTTTAAATTATTTTAGTTAATCTATGACAAACGGTATTATTTATGATTATAAACTTTATAGTTATTGTCAATGATAGATATTTTCAATATCCATTTCATTTATGAACTAGTCAAGATTTGAAAAAAAAGAAGGAATAGATATTTAATTCTATTCAAGTTGTCATCATTTTTTGTTCTTATAACACGCAATATAGAAATGATATAATTAACTAGGTAAATCCAAATATTGAAAAGTCACCATAGTCTTTCTTTTATTTAAAATACAGTTTCTTATGTATTTATGATCATTGAATGACTGAATTGTTTTAATTGTTTATTATTATTATTATTATAACCGAAACTAATCATTGAAATGAATTTGAATATTTATTTAATTTAGAAAAAGAACAACCGACCATTAGTTTGCTTGAAGAGTTGAATAAGAATTCGTAAAATAAAATAGACTGATTATTGAGTTTACAAAGTATATTATACTATACTATAAAGGACCAGTTCAAGATATTCATATACATTGGTAGGAATAGTGTTGTTGTCGGTAAAGTAACTATCATCAACCGTTTGTGAACATTTATGTTATGGTCTTAAATTAGTCGAAATGGAACATTATTATTTATTTATTTATTTAATTTTGCAAATATAACTGTTAAGTTTAAATGAATTTTCATTTGTACCAGATCAACAATTTGATTTCAGATATTTTACTATGTCTAATTGATATTGTCATTCTTACTGTTTTCCCCTTTCCTTTTTACCGACCATTTTGTGTTCATGTAGGCAGTGATAATATTGATCATGTAGAGCAACTGAAGATTTTCTTTTAATGTTTTACAGGAAAATAATAATTATTATTAGTGATGATGGCATTTTAAAAATCTCTGAATGTAAAATATGATCACCACGTTAAGCACTTAAGGGACTTAATGGGTGTCTGGAAAATAGTTGATTAGACGTCTACACATGAAGGCAGTGGAATTTTGAAATGATTCTCACCGCCATGACGATCACAACCTAATCAGATAATGGGATCAGTAAACATGGTATGTTATCTAATTACAACTTGAGCGAAACAACTGTTTGGTAGGGACGTTTTAGAGCATGTTGATTTTTCAAAATTATATTGTGGATTGATCTTAGTCAAACATGCATTGAAAACTATGAAGCTATGATAGCTATTAAATTCGAGTAAAGATCTTTTCATTGGATATGTAGCAACGACCTAATTCTGAGTCAAAACCAGTACTTTCATGTTTTAAATAACCAAGCCATCATCTAATGGTTTACACGTTTAACTGCAATAACTCTGTGATATAACACAACCATCCTCAAATTAATTGATGGCTAAGTGCTTCACGTAACGTAGTTGAACTTCACCGGTCAAAAGTTCATATTAGAACTTCGTGAATCACCTCTCAAAATTATTATTATTCACTGAAGCGGGTTTGTAGGGATTGTTAAGTTTGGATGCCGAGTTAGTGGTCTAAAGGTTTTCAATAGATATTTCACTAAGATCAATTTGTGATTTTATCTACAAAATAACTAATTGTTGTTCAAAATATAACACATTAATCATTTAGTAATTATCGCTATACAAAAGAACAATTCATTTCACTTTAGTTATGATCATTTCTAAACCACCACTTCATTTTGTCAGTCAAAATTTTAGGTAACAAAATAATTAAAATATTGAAAGCAAAAATGATCGACTTTCTAATTAAAGACAAATTCAGAGTTTCCTTGCAATTTATAACTATTTTATACGTGAATTCATTTTGGATTGTTTGTTTGAAACTTCCCATCGATATTTAGGACTACAATTGATTAGTCTCTTATTAGCACACGTACATCCTGTTCAGTTTGCCTTGATATTTCCCTAAGCCACAAGTATTATAAGCAAATATGGATAGTGGCTAGTAGCGGAATCTAGGACTCACGTTTCGTCCTATTTTGGACTCGTCAGTCGAACAAACCTATATCCCAGAGTTAATGTTTACTCTGGAACTCAAACTCTATACACTTTGTTTCAAACTCCATCGTGTCCAGTAAACTATTTTAAATATCAATAATACCCAATCTTTCATTATCTCACTTGAATTATCCTTCATTCCATTACTATTGATAATAAACATAAATATAATTGAATAAATCATAACCTACTTTTCCAGACATCAATAATCGTAATACCAATAATGATGTATTCTGTTGAATATTTTCATTTTCACCATGTGTATTAATTGTTGTAGTTGTTGATGTAGATGAAGATGACAATGATGATAATATAGTTGATTTATCAATTATTCCTTTTGATGATGATTCATCTAATAAAGTATTAGATTTTTCAACTGCTATCATTTCTAATCTTTTACTTAATTCATTTTTATCATTATAATTATTATTTATAGTAATATGATTTGTATTTATTGTTGAAAGTAATGGATTCTGTGCAGTAATATGATTATGATTGTTATTATTATTATTGTTATTATTTATATGATTATTAGATGTATATAACTTATCACATGTTATATTGGTTGCATGTAATGGTAAATTTATTGATGTAGGATATGTATGATATGCATTTAATATTGAATTAGCATCATTTGGTTGTACATAACAAAATGATTCTGCATTATGTGGATAACTAACATTTGTATAATATCCATTAGTTAGAGTTATTGGTGGACAATAAGGATTTTGTCCAGTTGGTTGATGTGCTGTAAGCATTAAACCTGTTGAAAGATTTGATAAATTTCCAGGTCCTAATGGATTTGGATGTGGTAATAAAGTTGTATGAAAAGTGGAATAAGGTATCATATCGAAATTATTTGGTATGATATCACCTGACATTCCGACTTTATAAGGAGTTACAACACTTGTTAGTGCCATTCAAAGAGAATGGCTAAAATCAATGAATAATTGGTTATAAATCGATTGAATGAATCTATATCAAAAAAATGTATAGAAAGAAAGGTTTACCAAACATATTGATGCTTCATGAAACTTGTATAAATAAGGTTTAGTTAGTAAAGCAGAAATAAAGTTCTAGATTGACAACTTTATTCGTTTTATCTAGAAGTAAGTTTTCTACAGTATGAGTTAGCACACCATATGGTTTTATTCATTCTCAATAATTGTACATTATAGAAGCATAAATAAAGCTTCATCAATTGCTAAGGACGTACAGTTTCTTCTTAGAACCATGAAACATGTATTAAAAGTATTGAATTATACATATTCATCTAACCAGTAATGATGACTAAAATATAAATCATCTAATCAAGAATCAATTCATTTTTATGCAGAAAATAATTAATCATTAATTCATTTAATACATTAAGACAGTTTGTCTGAAATTGATGCCTACCACCGTCTTATTGTATTTACTTCAGTTAGTTCAATTAGTCAAAGGAAATTATATTCACTTAGTTCATATATTTTATAATTGAATTATATCAATAGGTTAATTAATTATCTTTTAATTGTGAAAATAAGAAAAGTTAAAAATAATTTAATAGTTAAGATCATGAATTAATTGAAACTAGACCACTATGGAAAGCCTAAAAGCACTGGATAACCGTTTTATCTTATTGTGAAAGTTCTCAGAAGTGCGCCCCGTGGGATTCGAACTCAGGACTTATTGGTCTTAAATCTTATCCTACTGATAGAAATATCTTTTGAGGAATATTTATAGAGAAAACAAATTGATCATTTTGATATAAACTAAATTAATTGACATTTTATGAGTTTCTATTTGATTTTGGCTATGTTACAAACTGAAAAAAAAATCAGAGAGGATTTTCTTAATGGAAAATCAATCAATCATTAATTGATTATATTACATTTTAACTTAACTTAGCGTATCTAATCTTAAATGACCAAATTTTCAAGTGAATTGGTCGAAGAAAATTGGTTTATATTTTACAATGGAATAAATATACAAGTGGAATAAAAATAAGTAATATTCAATAGATAATTTTAATTTATAGTTAGAATTCATTTGATTGCATGATCTATATGTCACTCGGGTGATATGTGAACTGGCATAATTTAATTGACTATTAATTTGAGGAGATTTTGTGGATATTATAGTAAGATTAATGGCGGAGATCATGAGTTGATTGAAGCTAGACCACCATGGAAAAACTGAAAGCACTGAAAGCCATTTCGTCATAGATACGCAATGCTTAGGAGTCCCACAATAGAATGAAACGGTCGTTCAGTGCTTTCAGTTTTTCCATGGTGGTCTAGCTTCAATTTTCTAATGATTAAAACTATTTTAATTATTAATTCTTATTATTAGCTTTATTCAATCGTATATTTTTGGTAAAATATAGAATCCTCAGCATAAAGTATTTCAACAAGTTTCATTTTCATATTTCTTGGTCGATACTGACGATAAATATTGAGTGATCACCACTTAGGAGTATGTGCTTCAGGAATCGACATCTAAATGATGAACATTCTTTTCAAGGCATATTGCCAGCAACCATGATATTTTTGATTTGGTTCTTTTGTAACTTGTATAACGAAAGGTTGTACAATTTTCAGAAACACACCTGAATAGATGCGTATTATTGTATGAAAACAAACGAAAATAGATAACTGGTTGAAATATTCCAATGGAAGGAACAATTAGCCTAGATCTTTAAACATGCCGCCAAATTATTTAACTTAAATACTCATGTTTGTACAATACTCATAATTAAGTCATAAGCTATCCTCTTTACATGAACAAACAATAGATTAGACTTTAACAGTTTAATAATGAAAATGAATCAAAATTAACTTTTACCCAATAGATAGACAAAAATTATACTTATCATAACAGAGAAACAACTGAAAAGGACTAGTGCACTTTTTTTTGAAAAATCAATATTTGGTCATTGTGACGATGCTCAAAAACACAATTGAGCAACTTGTAAAGTTTTCTTTCTTTATTATTACCGCCTAATTTGTATTTAGTGAATAAGAAGTGAATGTTTCATAAATTCATAAGATTTTAATAAATTTAATACATTTTGTATATGGTAATTATTCATGTCTAAAATTCACATAAAGAAATTCAACATAATTCGCTTGATTGGATTCAATTAATGTTATTAAAACTGAATATATATAAATTTATTTGGTGTTGTTGTTTTACTTGTATCTTCCTAGTGTTATTAAGGACTGAAATTAATGAGTCTCATATTGGCATATGTGCATCCTGTGCGAATCACCTCGATATAGCCTTAAGTCACAAGCGTTTTAAACAAAGATGGATAGTGGTTATCTGTGGAAGCTAGGATGCGCGTTTTGTCCTATTTAGAGCGACACTAGGTTCGAGTCCCGGAGTAAACGTCAAATCTAGGATGCAGGCACATCCAACTAACGAGTCTCAAATAGGACGAAACGCGCGTCCTGGATTCCACTGCTAGCCACTATCCATTTTTGCTTAATAAGAGTATATATATGTATAGATAGAGGGAGAGGAAAAAATGGATAGAGAGATAGATTATGTTTACATATTTCATTGAACAATAGACTTCCTTTTCATTCAAATGTAAGCAACAATATATTCATACAGTGTATGTTACCAGTATGGTATAGAGCTCTAATGAATAAAAAACAAACACTCAATCTATAACTAATTAACCAGCTACAGTTCTCATCATTAAATTAATTAAAGTAATCCATCAAATAAGGAATTTAGTTAAATATAACTTAAAAACCAAAGATAATCAATAACTAGTCAGTAAGCGAACGAATGACAGTAAATAATACACAGAAAAGAAGTAGCTTACATCATAATGTTTCTTGTTATTATTATTATTGATGAAATGTTTTCCACATATTTATCACATTTATTCAAATGATTTAGGTTTTATGATGAGATTTACAAGCTTATAAATTCAGTATTTAAATGAAATATCAAAATGCACCTTATTTGACGTAACTAAGGAGGAGTAATAGTAGTAACATCCTTACAATCACTATTATTATCCATGGACTATGAACTCAACTGATGCACAACAACAACAACAACAACAACAACAAGGAAAACAACTTAAAATTTGTATAAACATAATTAAATAATTCAAGTGTTGTTGTTTATTCATATTTTTATCATCTGACTTGAATTTATTAAAAAAATAAGTTAATAACCTTTGAGCAAATAACTGAATACAAATAATTTGTTACTATGTTAAAAAATAAAAAAAAATTGATGAATGTATGAATTAATATTACCAGTGGTTTATTGGAAACTAACGTTTTTCATCTATTTCTTAAATTGTTATATTGAAAAAGCAATAGAAAATTTGATTCCTTGAATTTATATGACGTATATTAGTTGTTTAATATCAGAGGGGGATTTTTTGGATATTATAGTTATGATCATGAGTCCATTGAAGATAGACCACAGTGGAAATTCTGGAAGCACTTGACGACCGAATCTCGTGAGGCGGGATTGTGGATGTCCACTGATGAGGAGTTCAACAGTAGGACGAAATGGCCGTCTAGTGCTTCCAGGTTTTGCATGGTGGTCTAGCTTCAATGGACTTGTGATCTCAACTATTGAAATATATTAGATGCCTTTTTTTACGACACAGTATCTAATTAAATGATTCAAACTTGTTAGTATTCTATAAATGATAGCCAAGAAACTATTCATTGTATAGTGATTAGAATTTAAAAATGATTATTATCATTTTGCACAGTACTCATAATATTAATGGAAACTGTTTAAATGTAAACAACAATACATTCATACAATTTATGATACCAGTGTGGAATATTAAAGCAATATCAAGGCAATAAGCACAGTAAGCACATATGTTAATAAAAGACTGATCATTTGCAGTCCAAAACATCAATGGGAAGATTCAAGTAAACAGTACAATGTAAATTTAAACTTCATCTCGTTTCACAATTAATTTAGCTATCAGGACTCTGTAGCTTAGTGGATAACGAGATGGCGTTTGAAGCAAACGGTACTGAATTTGAGTCCCAGAATGAACATCAACTCTGATATGCAGGTACATTCAGCTGACAGGTCCCAAATAAGATGAAGCATGCTTCCTGAATTCCACTGCTAGCCACTATCCATTTTTGCTTCTAATTTTTATATTTCAGGTTATTTATAGTTTTGCAAAAAGCAATTTATCAGCAAAATATTAGAGTTTAATTGAGTGTTGCTGATGCTTTTACTATGAAACGACTCATATGGAAGAAAAAAGCTGTTCATTTATCATGACTATTGTAATTTGATCATTTCATTACTCGTTAATTGATTTTTCATCTTAGTTTTTCTGAATTAGTTATGTCATGCACCAAGGAAATAACTTTGTGTTTATTGTTTTTTTTCCTCACTCATATATTTTTTCAGACATTGATTGGATACTTGTAACCTTCCATCAATTACGGAATAATATATATTTTTCTAATTTCTACACTTTTCAAAGCACTATTATTATGACTACATTATTCAGTAATAACCATAAACAAGTAATTTGATTAAGATATTAAACAAGTGATCGGACTATAATATATCATAAGGAATTTCCATTAGTAAACTTCTGCTATTGTTATTTACTTATATCTTATTTTTAAGAAGCGTTTTCCAGTAGGAATATAAGAATAGAATGATGATATCTAAAAGTGAAATCCAGAACGCATTCAATTTCGTCATATTTGGGATTTGTCAGCTGGATCTACCTGCATCCAATAAGATTTAAATGTTACGAGGATTATTACAGTATAAAATAATACTATTTACCATTCATTTATAATCGATGTTCTTATCAATTGTTATTTATCAACATGTAAAAAAGGATAGTATTAAGTGAGGGTTATAAACCTGTGTGAGGAATCCGAATTATGATTTACAATTGATGGTTAAATTTAGAAATTAGGTTTAAAGTTTTCATCACCAACTTGTATCAGCTATAATGCCAAAACTCT